CGGGTAAAACGGAATGATCAAACACTCACCTAAATTTATTGAGTAACAAACAACTCTCTTAACCCTTTTCATTTTTGGAGTCAGATGAATAAAAGAGGTAAAACACAAGAAAATGTATTTAATTTAATATTGTTGTGCTGTATAAAAGGAAAGACAGCAACACGCGAGAGACCTTCATCCGCCACTGGATACCTTCCTTGGACCAGTGGGCGGACCTTACAGTTAAACACATCATGAGTAAATGAATCAGACTGTAGCTGCTGTAGAGTATAATGATACTAACTCTAGTTTCTCCAGCTTGCATTGTGTGTTCATCAGTAGATCACTGAGGTTCTTCACTCCAGAGTCTCCTAGTTTACTCCCGCTCAGGTTCAACTCTCTCAGGTGTGATGGGTTTGAGTTCAGAGCTGAAGTCAGGACGAGACTCTGTTCCTCTGTAATACTGCATCCCCACAGACTGAAGACAGAGAGAGAAAACACAATCAATCAGATCTAAGTTCATATCTGAGTTAAACACACCATGAGTAAATGCCATACAGTCACTGATACACAAGCAAAATAATGTAAACTGATAATATATGAACAAATAAACCAAGAGAGGAGCATTTGAGGACACTAGTTACAATTCCACGTCTGGATCCGTCCTCATTTAACAAATAAATGAATCAACCAATGTAAATTAATATAGAGGATTAATGTAGACACAATAGAAAAATAATACAATTAAATGGTCTACTTTTACATTTTTAATGCAAGAAAATTAAATCAATCAAATCAAATAAATTACTTTAAGCCATTTTAGAGTGAAGTTTACAGTCTCTAAATATACTAAATATACATTTATCTTAATAAAAGATTTAGTGTAGAGTACCATTAGTTCAGTATAAATGTGACTCAGAATAATCTACTGTCATCTGTTAGACTGTTTTTAGTCTGTTTTCACATTTGTCTTGTTTCACAGCAAAGATTTGTCAGATTTCAGTGAGTTTCATGCTGTTTCTACAGACACAAACCCATGAACTAAGAGTATTTCTGAATCTTTCTTCAGCTGGAGAAACACAGAAGATGCAGCGCTAGAAATGATGTAACATGAGCCCAGCGATCTTAAACTGAACAGTAAACTTTAATCAGACTGTAGCTGCTGTAGAGTATAATGATACTAACTCTAGTTTCTCCAGCTTGCATTGTGTGTTCATCAGTAGATCACTGAGGCTCTTCACTCCAGAGTCTCCTGGTTTATTCCCTCTCAGATTCAGCTCTCTCAGGTGTGATGGGTTTGAGTTCAGAGCTGAAGTCAGGACGAGACTCTGTTCCTCTGTAATACTGCATCCACACAGACTGAAGACAGAGAGAGAAAACACAATCAATCAGATCTATGATGATCATCTTATTGAAGTGCTACAGCAAGCATTTAGTTTCCAGTAGTCTGTTTCAAATCACACTAGTTATGTTTGTTGGAAGCTACTGTTTAGTTTTTCACTTTTTAACTATTTATTTAATGTTTTATCTTCTTTATTCTCTGTTGAAAAGGCAGATTTCTGCATGCACATAATCAGTACATTGTATCAAATGCTGGAAATTAAACAATTACTAACTAGATTAAAAAATACATACAAAATGTGACCAATAGGGCAAAACCAGTGCACTGCTATAAACAATATAACTTAAGACCTGTTGTCTTAAAATAAATAAACTTTAATTGTACTTCAGTTTCTCCAGCTTGCATTGTGTGTTCATCAGTAGATCACTGAGGCTCTTCACTCCAGAGTCTCCTGGTTTATTCCCTCTCAGATTCAGCTCTCTCAGGTGTGATGGGTTTGAGTTCAGAGCTGAAGTCAGGACGAGACTCTGTTCCTCTGTAATACTGCATCCCCACAGACTGAAGACAGAGAGAGAAAGAACGTACTTCAGATGTATGTCAATTAAACTTATTACCAACTACACAAAAGTTACAAAGGTTGAATATCAGCAAACTCATTAAGATGTGATCTATTTGTCCAAGTTAGTTTACGCATTCATTTCACAATCACTTTTTGCTCACTGGGGTAAATGTGTTTATGTCTGGGGTTCTCAGACACACAGCTGACTCTTTACAATAAGATTTCATTTGTTATCATTAACTACATTAGTTAACATGAACCAATGATGCACAATACTAGTACAGCATTTAATAACCTTAAAGTCAGTTTCAACATTTACTAATACATTTTTAAATTCACACGTGTTTTTGTCATCATCAGGTAATCCAGATTAACCCAAAACAGGGCAGGACCATAGAGAGAAATCAGAACATTATGTTCAACAATTAGTATAATGGCTACTTATGAAAATAGCCTACTGTATCATAATTAATACACACATTTCTAGGACCTATAAATGATCAATATGACCAAAACTTTGCTGAAAAACTTGTTTTACACAGTCTACTTCATGCCTTCTGTCCTCTGATTGATAATTCATACTTTTTTAATCAGGTAGACTTTTTTCCCCCAATTTCTACAAGTTACAGTATATGCTGCACCAAAATTAGACATTTAATATTTTGTGAAAGACAAACATTCAATTGAAAGCAGTTATGAATAGTTATGTTTGTCAGCAATCAGCAAACATGATCACATTAAGCAGACATATATTTAAACAGATTAATATATGCACATTTATCTTTAATTTACACAGAACTGAGCTGTTAATGTTAGGAAAGACATCTGTGTTTATAGCGCTGCTGTTTTTACAATCTATCACTCGTTTGAATGAGTTTTCTAAACTCTGGAAGAAAATAATTTTTCTCTCTCTACAGTAACTGTAAATAATTATTGACTCGTGATCAAACTGATTTAGTGAACTGTTTAAAGCTTGATGTCACTGTCATTGGCTGTTTAATTTAATATTTCATATTATAGTGGCTCTTTGTGATGTTGAGTAAAAACTGCTCTGACTCACACAAGCAAGGAAATATTATTATCAGCTACAGTAACATTACTATCACAAGTAATGAAACTCTAGGGCTTTTCACTCTTGAAAAGGTTAACCCTGGGTCATCTTAAACCCCAGATAAACGCTATCCTGTGTTATGTGTAATCACGTTTCACACTGCTCAAGATATTCCTGGGGTTAACTGTTAATCCTGGGTATTCATTCACAGACCCTTCACACGGTACATTCCTGACCCCGGGTTAACCTTCTGATTTGCATATTTGCGGTGTCACTGTCACTGATTGGACAAACAGCAGGCAACCAGTACATGGCTTTTCCCGCGTCTTGCCAGTTATTAAAAAAAATGTCGCCGCGTAGGTCTTTAGCTGTTTTAAGCCTCATAAGACGCACAAAGGCAAGAGAACAAAGACAAACCTCCTCCTAACTCCAGTTCACACGCTTTTTTGACATGTCTTACTTTTCTCTCAGCGGCTGCTGTTTACACGACACACGTGTCCTGTTCCTGACGTGATATGAGCCTCGCTGCTCAAGTTCTGATTGGCTGTCTGTTGCCAAGCGTCCAGCAGCAGCAAGCAAACACCGCTCCGCTTCACACTGAACAAACTTAGCACAGCACTGCGAGGTTAACCTGCTCCAGAGCAGGCTTTCATAACCCCGGGTAAAAACCCCTGCTAACACCGCTGTCAAATTACAGGTGTGAAACCCGGGGTTAAGCACAGTGTGAAAAGCCCTATTGTAAATAAACTACTAATACTCACTTCAGTGTGTTGAGTGTACAGTGTTTATCCTGCAGTAGAGCAGCGATCTGATTCACTCGTGTGTCTCCTAGTTCACGTCTACTCAGATCCAGCTCTCTCAGGAGTAACGGGTTTTTACCCACAATTCCTCTCACATACTGACAGGCTTCTTCTGCAGCAGGACACAAAAACCTGCAGAAGACCAGATGAAGCAGGATTAGATTTAATATATATATATATATTCTAAAAACAAGCGTAATTATGAAGGTATGTCATACTCCAGAACTGCAGCACAACTAAACTGTTGACAGTCAACCAGCAGCATCTGATCGGATCATTCTGATCCAGCAAACAGTCCAGATTATTGCTGAAATATTTAGCCTGCACATCATTTATTAATATAGTGATGTTTGAGGATGTCTCACCTCAGTGTCTTCAGCTGACAGTTTGGATCCTGTAGTAAATCATCGAGCTGCTTCACTCCTGATGGTCCAGGATCATTTCCAGAGAGATCCAGCTCTATCAGGTGTGAAGGGTTTGATCTCAGAGCTGAAGCCAGAGCTTTATAACCTTCTTCAGTGATGCTGCAGTCTGAGAGTCTAGAACAGGAATAAAAATATAACATTCAGATGATTAATCAGGTATTCTACTGAACAATATAAATACCTAAAGTTAATTATATTTAGTTACTTTTACAAATGAACTAAAACTTCCAAAGCAAAAACTGACAACTGAATATGGAGTCAAACAAAAAAAGAGAACTTTAAATCGTTATACATCAATTCACTTTAATTTCTCCAGGTTACAGTCATTCTCAAGATTTAACTCTCTGATGCGACTCACACATGGTCAAAAGTGACAGAACACCTGAAATGTAACTTTTTTTCTATTCAGTAAAATTCAATGCAATATATTTTTGTTTAAAAAATTTTTTTTCATTATTATTTTGTATTTTGTGATAATTTTATGGTATTCACTTAGGATAGTAATGCCAGTAAATTCTGACCTTGTGAGGACATTGTTTGGAAACAAGCTTATAAATCCTACAGAACGTTCACATTTTTTGAAAATGTAAAACTGCAGAAGGTTTTTTTTTTTTTTTAATCAATTTTTTATTATTTTGACATTGTTTAATATACAGAACAACACAGACAAACAATCAGCTTTGCAACAGAAAAAACAAACAAAAAACAAAGACCATGATAAATGAAATAGAAGTATATCTATAAAAAATATATAATAATAATAATAATAATAATTTGGTTAAAACTAATCAGTTAAACTGAAGGGTGAATGGCCGAAATATACGAAACAGTATTTAAAACCTAATATACTCCAAAATATACAAAGTACAAAGACTATACATGTACAAAAGATTATGTAAAAAGAAATATATACCCATACAAAAATCTTGACATACAAACAATTGGAACAGCGCTGAAAGAAGTCTACGTCAATAAAAAAAAAGAGGCAATTATAACCCAAACAGGGAACCTTAAACACGACTCTAAATCAATATATATGAAAAAAAACATATAAAATAATACAAAAAAAAAAGAAAAAAAAAAAAGCCCAATACCAGAAAGTGTGTATTTGGGAGGGGGGTGAATCTCCTGAATTCAAGTTAATAAAACCTTTAAGCTTCTCTAAAGTATGAGCCCAAAGTCTAATGGTGTCCTCTCTGGCGCCATGAAGGCGAGCAGTGGACAATTCAAGATACACCACGTCTATAAAAGTGAGAACCCAATATTGCTTATTAATAGAATGTGGAGGCTTCCATCTTGTTGCAACAATTTTCTTGGCCGCTGTCAAGCCAGCTAAAAAGACTCGCTTCAACTGCAGAAGGTTTTATGTGAGCGGCAGGTTTAGAACAGGGCTTCAGTCCTGCAGAGTTTAGATCCAGCCCTGATCAAACACACCTGAACAAGCTCAATGTCTTCAGGATCACTGAGGCCAGAGACTGTCTTACTATTGGGAGATGAGAGTATTAGTGACCACTGGAAAAACATAACGGCTAGAAAAAACTAGAAAAACAAAATTACAAGAATGCAGCAAATATAGTTAGTTTTATCGGTCCAAAACACAGTGTATAACTGTTTGACAAATCAGGTTTAAGATTTTTTAAATCTACATTTAGCATTAGGCCAAATATACAATATGTTAAAGAGCATTTCATAAACAATTATAACTGGGGAAATTCTTTGTAAATGGCAAGGTAAAGACAATTAAAACTTTGAAATTAGTAAAATAATTGTTTAGAATAATTCTTGATAATTGTCATTAAATTGTTTATCACTGTAAAGCTGCTTTGAAACAATCTGCATTGTATAAAGTGTTATATAAATAAAGGTGACTTGACTAATTAACTTTTTCTGCTCACAATAAGAGAGCATTTTCATTATGTATGTTGTTTGTTTATTTTAGAAGACACTTATTTTAAGCAAAATATAAAAATGGTCCAGACTTCAAGAGTACACTCTGAACCCCATACAGTATCTCTTATCAGTAAATGCAATGTAAAAATAATAATAGCCTGATAAAATATCTGAGCTTACCTTTTAATATCCAATGAAGCTGAATTGATGAAAGAAATATTTACTTTTCATTATTATAATTTTTTTATTCTTAGACACCACGGCTTTGACTCTCGGGGTCCAAAATCCTAATTTTTGATGACTTTCGTTGTGGAGAAAATAAGCGGTCGCGGCAGCCATCACGTGAAGACCTCCTCATGTGAAGACCGAAGGGTGTAAAGACCATCGACTCTACCGTGCGACTCCACCGAGGAGGGACACCGGCAAAGGATAAATGTCGCTTTTTATTTCTCCTCTTTCCTATTGCTTGTTTCACTTCTGTTTCGGTTTTTGTGACCATTTCTTGCTATGTGTCAGTGGGTTGTTGTTTTTTGGCATGTAGGTTTGGCAGTGTTGTTTTTTGGGATTACTGATGGACTACTGTCATTTGATTTGTATTTGTTATTTATTTTGATTTTACTTACATTATGTCTGAATTTATTATGTCTGTATTTGTATTTTATTGGGTTTTTAGTTTTATTTGATTTGAGTTGTTTTAGTGCTTCGGCAGGCTGGATGGAAATGAAATAATATATATGTTGCATTTATGGATGTGTATGTAGATGTACAGTGTGTGTGTGTGTGCTTGTGTGTGTGGTTGTACATACACATATGTAGTTGTTTTTTTGGTGTTTGGCTTGGTGTTATATTGGAGTCATTGTTGTGCTCTTATACCTTTTGTTCTTTGGTATTTTGAATTGTTTTTGGCTTTATTTTTTGTTTTTCATTTAAATGTTAAGTTTTGGAGTTTTGTTGTATGCATTTGTCATTTTTATTTAATCTCTTTATTTTTAAAATGTGTATAAGTAGTATTTATAAAGTTTTGGATCTGTTTTTAATTGTTTTAATACTACAATTGATTGCTTCTGTTTTCCTAATTTGTAAGTCGCTTTGGATAAAAGCGTCTGCTAAATGACTAAATAAATAAATAAAAAATAAATGACTTTCTTTGACTGTATTTGTTTGTTTGTTTTTTACAAAGTACCACTGCTGCCCAGATGGAAATATGAATAACATTTCCAAAAAAGTATTGTCTGGACCTCCACTGGGACGGGAGCATAGAGAACGGACCTCTTGGAACCTTAACAAAATACCTCTGATCTATAACTATACAGATTTATATCCAAATACACATTATAATCTCTTTATAGTTACCCCACTCATTAACATTACTTGCGTCACATGTACAGTTTTAACCTAAAATTGATAACAAATACTTTAGCCAAATACAATATTTAATCAGAACTATTGTGCTCCCTTGACTTCGCACTCCTTTAGTGAAATTTGTGAAGTTTAGTGGATGCTGTCTGTCGGGTAAATACACATCTTTCTGATCTTTTACTAATGACAGATATACATGATATCACCATCAAATGTAAGTTATCCCCAACATAATCAAATTAATTCTGTAAACGGTATAACACAACACATTGGCTTAGGCACAGTCAATGACAGACCAAATCAGAAGAAGAACACCATGGCAGGCATAAATATAAAGTATCTCCATGCATAACATACAGACTTGTTCATTATTCAAGTCTGGATTTCTCCTTGTGTTTTTGTTGAGCTCAGTGTAATTTTTGTCTATTGTCACACAACTTACCTCAGTATCTCCAAATGACACGCTATATTCTTCAGTCCAGTGCAGAGCAGCTTCACTCCTGAATCTCGCAGATTATTATTGCTCATGTTCAGCTCTTTCAGATTGGTATCTGATCCAAGAACTGTAGCCAGAGCTGAACAGCTTCTGTCTGTTAAGCCACAATCATTAAGCCTGCAAGGGAAATAAGATTGCAGAATAATTAGATTGAATACAATTGCTAAATGCAAATATTAAATCTATTTTTAACCTTTAGCTAAATATATCTACCTATAGCTTTAATGACAATGAATTATACATTTGAAAGTGCTGGCTCCATAGTCTTGAGATGCGCTACTTAGTCAATTCGGACAAAATCATTGTCCTTTCGTTCAAGTGCTCAACATCAGCAATAATGCTCAATGCTCTAAAAACACTGTAAATGGAAACCTTTGATGCTCTTTACAGAGTGCTCACACAAAACATGCATGTGATCATTTGAAAGCAGTCACCTATTAGCAGGTACCGCATTGACCCGGTACTTGGTACTACTGCTGCTGCAGAAAGGCTGAATTTGTTAAATTTGTAAATTTCAGTTTTGACTTGATACCAAAGTACCGGTACTTTTGACAACTTTAATAGGGCCTTTCGCACCGCTTTAGTTCCAGAACTAAATGTACAGTACTAAAGTAATGGGACGATTTTGCGCGAACTATTTCCCTGTACCATTTAAAGGGTTGCATTCGCACCGAGAGTGTGTACTAGGAAGTGACCTAAGCCGGTCGACAGCGACGTCATTTGTGCGCGGCGTTCAACAACAGACACAAAGAAGAACAACGTTAACAACAGGAGGATGGAGGATGCTGTGATCAGAGCTGTGTGTTTGTTGTGTCTTGCGGGTTTCACAATAATGAACATGGAAAGTCGACATATACGTAAAGCGATTGAAAGAACGGAAAGGAGGACTAAGAATCTCCAACTGGCAGTGCTACATTTGCTACAAGTGCCTGCACTTCAGCGTCCGTCCATCTATCGCTGTTCTCCATACTTGCAAACTAAGTCGACACAATGTTTACAGTATGTTTACACAGAGTTTTAAATCATGGCGGGTGAGGGCGTTTCCGTACGCGTTTGGCCAATCAATGTCTACTTACGTCACGATTAGTACCAGTTGTGCTGGTTAGACCCTGCTCCGGAGTAGGAGCTAATTTGGTTCTCAAAAAAGGCAGTCCGGTACTAAAATCGCACCCAGTTCCGGCTGTGCGAAAACGCCAAAAAGTGGGTAGTTCCACAATTAATTCTGATACTAGGAAAAGGTTCCCGCGGTGCAAAAGGCCCTAATCAAAACATGCTGTTGTGAATGCTGTAGGTTGTCATGCAGACCCCTGGCTTATACTGCATTAAAATAATTGGCAACCCTCTACATTGCGAGTAAATCACTCGCATATGCGACTAAATCTTACTCTGGGCGACTAAATAATGTCTAACATTAGCCACTGGCTAATAAATTCTTAGATTTTACACGCCAGTATGTTTGTGAGAGGCGTTCAACACAGATTTTCACTCGATAAACACGCTGACAACAAGGCAGTATGTAGCATGCAGCGCACTGTAGGATATCAGACCGAATCAGACAATCTAAGATTTGGTCAAAACGAAAAGAGTTGAGGCACGAGGAGTCACAAAAATTCCACAGAGGCCCAAGACAACAGGATGTCATAAATCAGACCCGAGCATTACCCAGGCTGAAGTAAACCTAAACCCCGGTCACAGAACAGTTTTCAACATTAACACAAAAGGAACACACTGAT